TCGTTGTAGTATCTGAGAAAATAAATGAAAGCGCTGCAAAGAAAATTTTGATTTTTCCATGAAACTGTCACAGAGTGGGGAAGATATTTTAGAGGTTGGGAAACTTTTATTGGACTTATATCACAGGGGATATTTACCACGGGGTTTTTTCTTTTCCATATTGAAATTCCGTAGTTTCTTATTTTGTCTAATGTTGCATGACTGACGTATTGTTTATAGAAAACTGGCAAACTAGCTCTTGGGTGATGCCGAAACTAAGTCAGTCTAATGTAGCTTTTCGAGACATTACTTGGGATCCCGTCAACAAACAGGTGAATTATTGTTATACACTACTTGTTAATCTATGAGCTGAGTTCTCTGTGGATGTTAAGTGATACTGGAAGTTCTCAAATGTCGAATGTCCTTAAAAATGTTTACCTTACCTTTGCTTGTGTTCTCATTTTCATCAAAGCGTTGGAAACGGCATAACGGCGTGCAAAGAAAACTAACTATGTCATTCTCACTAGACCCAAAAAGTTTCTCACTAATATAATCTCTTAAAGTACATCTGTAATTGGAATGTCATCAAAAATATTCCCGAAAAGTACACCACTCGCTCGACTGCAAAATACACTAGCCGCGGGCTATCGGACACTACTTTCTTTGCATGTTGATGATAATTATGAAGAAAAATAGCCTATAAACTTCTTAAGGCACAGGCGGCCGGGACGTTGAATACGATTAATACGTGACATTATTCTGTTGGCGATTGCGTTACAATTTTAGCCGGTTATAAGACAACGTATGAGAATGCTTCGAAAACTACTCTAAATGCTACGTGTAGAAAATAATTTCGATAAAATGGCTTACCTTGTGTTTCCATTGCGTTATTTTGATGTCTCTGGGTTCCTGGAGGTTTTTTAATACACCTTTCTTTGTCTACTATCTGAGTTACTCGCTCGTTGCCAAGATCTTTTTCAAATCGTTAGCAGACGGCGTGCAAACCGATTCAATGACAAGAGTTGCGTAAACAAACCCATTTGTAATCTGTAAAACCAATTTACTGCAGGAAAAAAAATAAACATGTTATTTGCCGGCTTACGGTCGGTCCGTATGGTGAAAAACTGTGACCTCGGGCTTGAAAATGCTGCCCAAGGCCGCAGGCCTCGGGCAGCATTTTCAAGACCTCAGTCACAGTTTTTCACCATACGGACCGACCGTAAGCCGGCAAATAACATATATATATATTTCAATATCTGCGGGCAAAGAGCTTTAGGTAAACTTTGGCCTTGAGTACGCTTATTGGTTATGATTTCGAGTTTGAAGTATGATGAGATAGCAGAGTCCTTTTGTAGATAAAACT